GCTGAAATGACGTCTAATTTTAGCTTCACATGCAGGTTGTTTTTCACATGAAGAAAAAATCCATTCACACTCTTGAAATTCATTTCTCACATGGCGGCTCCCCTGTCTTCGGCGGTTACATGCTCCCTCAGTTCAGCGCCTGCAGAGGCCCGTGTGACTGCAGGAGGACCCTCAGAGGGCCGAGCGAGTCTCCTGAGCGAGGTTATGTTCACGCCCACACACGAGTCTTTTCTCTGAGACGAGGAAAAACCGAGAAAACTCGCTGTGGTCTGATTTTCAGGTTACCGATGCAGCTTTCTATTTTTATCAGCGACATCAGTGAGTAAGAGAGTCTTCATGCAGAATAGTTTTAAATCTTCGACTCATTTTAATTTCCTGAACAGTGAAGTTGCTGCTTTGGCCTAAAAACACAGTGAACTGTTCCAGCTTTGACTGATTATAGTGACGGAAAAATTCACATTAAACTCTGCAGTAAAAATCAACTCAGTTTGTATTAAAGGGATTTCTACCTGCACATCTGAACGCTGCAAAAACTCCAGTCTCAGCAGTTTGTGTCTGATTTCTGGTTCATTTAAAGCACGTTCACCTGAGAGGCCCAAAAAAATGTCTTATTTTAATAAATGACGTGCCTCAAATAAAAAATATGATGTTTAAAAAGAGAAAGAAATACATCTGCAGATCGAATACGATCAAATTCACTGGTAAAGTTCTGGAAAAAAGACATTTTGGCAGATTTTTCCTACTTACAGGTTTTATTTTTGGCGTCTTATCTGATTAAATAAAACCTCGTTCTGGACGTGTCAGATTAAAACATGGTTTTATTTAAGCCGAACGAGGCGACTTTGAAATAAGACCAAAACAGCTGCTGAGATTTCAGTTAATGCAGAGTCGCTCTCTGAAATGTAGAGGTCACTTAAATACATATTTATTTGATGTTTTTACAGGTTAGAACTTTAAAATGTTCTCCAAGCTGCAGCAAACCTTAAAGTTCTTGATTTGCATGATCTGTACCAAGAGAAAAACTCTGATTATTGCTGATTTTCTGTTTTTTTAAAGTACCAGACGTGATTTTTTTATCTTGAAAATTTCAAGTCTTGTCTCAGATTCGTCTAAATTCACCTGAGATGAGCTCGGCGGTCTCTGTGTTGCTCTGAATTCATGTTTTCTGATCTCCCTCAGCTCTATGTGCAGCCTGTAAGTGTGTGTGTGTGTGTGTGTAACCTGTGCAGAGGTGCATGTGTGTGTTTGTGTGTGTGTGTGTGTGTGTGACCTTTTTAAGAATGAGTCCTAGATCACCTGTCTATCTGAATTTACACCATGTCATCAGCACTGTGTGTATCAGGGTGCCTCATATGTGTGTGTGTGTGTGCGTGTGTGTGTGCATGCGCCCTCTCTGCCTTAGAGGGGTCATCTCTGAGAAAGGCGACACCCTCGCTCAAACAGGCGACTCTTATTTATTTATTTATTCTCAAACATCCACCCATCATCCTCTCCTCTCCTCTCCTCTCCTCTCTATCGCCATGGTAACACACTTAAACTCTCTCCGTATCCCTGGTTTCCTCCCGGGACGGCCTCTCACGGCTCTGTTTTTACACCGCTCAGTTTCTGGCGCTCTCACGGTGGAACATGAATAATTGACTGAGTGTTTGTGCACCGAGTGTGGGAGAGCGATGTCGATCCTCCAGCAGCACGACCCCGCGCTGCATCCTGTCTGATGTTTTCACAATAAAATAACACTGAAACTTCCCCAGCCTCCCACTGCTTGTTTCATTATGTCAAAATATATTACAGAGTTTATGTGACCTCTGACACGCCTGAAACGTCCACGCAGCACTTAAACACATCACGCAGAACAGAAATATGAATCCATAAATCCACCCCATTTTTTTAGAGTTACTTTAAACTTGACAGAGAAGATATATGGAGGTATTAAAATGTTAAATATGGTTTAGGGATGTGGACTGTGGAAGGATTTATGGGTCTATGATGTTTTTATTGTACTATACTAAGGCATTTTTTTTCATAATGATATATTAAACTTTAAAACACTGAAATTTGAAATGTTTAACATACTATAATATGGCCTTTATATTCATTCTTAATTATGGGAAAAAAATTTCACATTAAATTTTGAAATATTTATTATACTATACTATAGCATTTTTATCAAACTACACTTTGCCTTTTTTTTCATAGTGAGAAATAAAATCATACTATACTATGGCATTGTTTTTCATCAAAAATTTTAAATTGTTAATCACACTTAAATTTGAACGTGTTATCATACTATGCTATGACATTTTTTTCATACTACACTATGACAATTTTTTCAAACTGAAATATGAGATTTTTTTACACAAAAATTTTGAATTTTTTATCATACTATACTATGACGCTTTTATCATACTATACTAAGGCATTTTTTCATAATGATATATGAAATTTTAAAACACAAATTAAAATTAAAAAACAAATTAAAAATGTTTAACATACTATACAACGGTCTTTGAATTCATACTTTGATATAAAATTCTTTTACACTAAATTTTGAAATAGTTATCATACTATACTTCAACAATTTTATCATACTGTACTATTCCATTTTTTCATACTGAAATATGAAATTTTATTTTACACAAAAACTGACATTTTTTTTATCATACTATACTATGACATTTTATCATGCTATACTATCACATTGTTTTTTATAAAAAAATATTTTATTTTTTAACACTAAAATATGACATTTTTATCATACTATACTAAGAAATTTTTTTCAGACTAAAATTGAAAAAAAAAATTCCATAAAAAAGTTTTAAACATTTTTTATCATACTACACTAATTCATTTTTATCATACTATACTAGGGCATTTCTGTCATTATAATTTATGAAATTTTATAACACTAAAATGTGAAATTCTTCAAAAAATATACCACAACCTTTATATTCTTACTTAAATCTGACTTTTTTCATACAAAATTTTAAAATATTTATAATACTATACTTTTAAATTTTAATCATACAATACTATGACCTTTTATTTCAAACTGAAATATGATTTTTTTCACACAAAAACAGAAATTTTCATCATACTGTACTTTGACATTTTTAACATACTATACTATGGCTTTGATTCTCATACAAAATTATGATGCTGTTTCTAACACTTAAATATGAAATTTTTTATCATACCACGCTATGACATTTTTATCATACTATACTAAGACATTTTTTATATAAAAGTTTGAATTTTTTTCACACTAAAAAATGATTTTTATCATACTATACTTGGGCATTTTTTTCATAATGATATATGAAATTTTATAACAATTAAAATTTGAAATTTTCAACATACTATACTATGACCTTTATATTCAAACTGAAATATGAAATGTTTTTTCACATTTAATTTTAAAATATTTATCATACTTTACTATGACATTTTTATCATACTATACTATGACATTTTATTTTCATACTGAAATGTGAAATATTTTTTCACACTAAAACTGTTTTTTTTAATCATACTATACTATGACATTTTTATCATACTATACTTTTTTTTAACATGAAAAAAATATATTATTCATCAGACTGTAATATGACATTTCTTCATAGTGAAATATGAAATTGTTTTTCATACAAAAATCTTTACATTTTTTTAACATACTTTGACATTTTTATCATAATACACTATATTTATTTTTTATACTAAAATATGATTTTTTTCCACACCATACTATGAAATTTTTACTAACTATACTAAGACATTTTTCATAATGTTAAATGAAAATTTTTAACATTCTATACTATGGCCTTTATATCCACACTTAAGATTTTTTTTCACACTAAATTTTGAAATATTTATCATACTTTACTATAAATATTTATCAAACTATACAATGAATTTTTCTCATGCTAAAATTTGAAATTTTTTTTCACACTAAAATTTGAAATTTTTAACATACTATACTATGGCCTTTGTATTCATATTTAAATATGGTTTTTTTCACACTAAAATTTGAAATATTTATCATACTATACTGTCATTTTTATTACTATATACTATATACTACTATATACTATAAAGTCATACTTACACATGACTTTTTTTTCACAAAATCTTTACTATATCTTTACTACATACTATACTATGAGATTTTTTATTAAAAAAATTATGAATTTTTTCACACTATACTATATTTTTATTATACTATACTATGAGATTTTTTATCATATTAAACTATGGCATATTTTTTCATAATTATATATGAAAATTTATTAAACTCAAATTTGAAATTTTAAACATTCTACACTACAGGCTTCTTTTTATACAAATATATGAAATCCTTATCACATTCTAGTACTTTTTTTTTCATACTGAAATATGAAATTTTTTTGACACTCAAATTAGGAATGTTTTACATACTTTACTACTTACTTTCTTTTATTAATTCTCCTCTTTCCTTACCTGTTTTTCCTTCCTTTTGCTCTGATGCTGCTGCAGGTGATGCTTCGCTGTTTCATTGTGTTGCACCGGGACGATAAAAGCTTAAATTTCCTTGGTTGGCAAGTCACTGTGACACATTAGCTCTGCTGTTTTATGCCTGTGATTATCTCGCCTATCATCATCCTGCACCATTATCACCCGTCAGCGCCCGTCCACGGCTCCCAGGAGAGCGATCCTTAAACGGCCGCTGTTTACAGGGTTTATAGATATAGATGCCACAGACTGATCTAACAAACTGAAGCAGCTGCACACTGAAGGGTTTGATTGAAATTAACCGTTATTTGCAAACACTGGATGTGTCGTTCGTTCATGCATTAGTCTTAAAATAAAAGGTCCTCAATAAGTATCTCTAAATTGAAGCTTGGTCTATGTGCATTTACCGTAACCATCAACAGCTGAGAGCGATTTAAAATCTGTCAAATCACCAATACCAGTCAACTCCAATCTCTTGAATTTTCAAGGAGGTAAGAGCGAGCATCTGTAGGAATAAGAAATGAAGACATGAGCATGTACAGTTATGTGGTAAAGTTTAATACGCCAACACAGGAATCGATGAGGATCGAAGAAAGCCTCTAGTGGACACAGGAGGAATTGCAGCTTTTGCACTCTTTCTCTGTTGGTGTTTCTGGTCAGTGAAGGTCCAAAAATATGCACGATCAGAGTTTCTCATGGTTTTGATTAAATAAATATGAACAGAAAAGTCTCTGAAAAACAAAGTTAAAGAATCATCACATCAGTCCGATCAGACGTCTCCTCTCCTCTCTGCAGGATCAGCGTTAAAGCTCACTGTGGTTCAGGTCTGGAAGGACTTGTAACCCTCCTCATCCTGCACCTGCTCGCTCATTAAAGCTGCAGCCGCTGTGTTTGTATCTCAGCCTACGTCTCAGCCTCTCTGCAGAGACCACCGGCTCTTTCATTACGCCAACACCGAGCTCTGCTGGACTCGGCGGTTCCTTTAAAGTGTCCCGCCCTCCAGAAAACCCCCCGAGTCCAACATCTACCCATGAAAAATATGAAAGAAGAGAGAAAGGCCGAGTCAGAGCGCTCTCATGTGTGATCAGAGTGGAGTTTGTTGAATGTACAGCCCACTGACTGACCTCTCGCCTCCACATATAAACTGTGTGATAGAGCCGAGGCTGTAGGCCAGATTTGACCCTCAGTGAAGTCCATGATGAGCTCCAGAGGCTCCTTCAGAGACGTTCTGCATATTTAAAAGACTTTTTTACAGTGTTTCAGGTTTCCTGAGCGGAGAGCGGACTGAGATCTGTTCAAGACTTTGATTCTGTAGCAGCTGAACAGGCCGAAAGGAACCTGCAAAAACTAAGATCATCTGTAGAGGAGGACGAGTTCATCAGAGAGGACGTTTTAGTGAGACAGTCTACCTGCAGACCTCCACTGAGAGGACTGTTTGAGGCCTTTCAAAATAAAAGCAAGTATACTGGGTATATGTTTCTTTTTATACATCATGAAGTTGATGGAAGCCTTTCAAAATAAAAGCTAAGATACCAGAAATACCAGCTTTCTTTTTATATGTCTAAAGCTGATTAGAAGCCTTTCAAAATAAAAGCTAATACATCAGGTGTATGTTTCTTTTTATATGTCTGAAGTTGTTTGAAGCCTTCAAAATAAAAGCAAATATACCAGGAGTACATTTCTTTGTATCAGTCTGAAGTTGGTTCAAATCCTCTCAAAATAAAAGCTCATATACCAAGAGAACGTCTCTTCTTATACATCTGAAGTTGATTCTAAGCCTTTCAAAATAAAAGCTAATATACCAGGTGTAAGTTTCTTCATTCTTCGTCTGAAGTTGATTCGAAGCCTTTCAAAATAAAAGCTAATATACAAGGTGTACGTTACTGTTTATACTTCCTAAGTTGATTTGAACCCCTTAAAATAAAAGCTCATATACCTGAAGTACATCTCTCCTCATACATCTGATGATTCGAAGCCTTTCAAAATAAAAGCTCATATACCAAGTGTACATTTCTTTTTAATGTCTGAAGTTGATTCGAAGCCTTTCAAAATAAAAGCTTATATACCTGGAGTATGTTTCTTGTAATATGTCTGAAGCTGATTCGAAGCCTTTCAAAATAAAAGCTAATAAACTGGGGATATGTTATTTTTATACATCAAAAGTTGATTCAAAGCCTTTCAAAATAAAAGTGATTTCACTAGGAACTTTGTATTTTTTGTCTGGTTTTATTTTATGTACATTATATTAATTTTTTTTTTTTTTTTGTATTCAGATGTTCATCAAAGACAGAATATAAAACGAGATGACCACTTTAAACTCTTTATTTAAATTTTAGATGCTCCTCAGTTTTGTTGATGTTGTGAACGCTCAGGACGGCGTCGGTTGCAGCACACGTCCTCCAGTTCGATCGGAAATCCTCACTTTAACAATTTACTGAGGTCAAGAGTGTTATTCGATGGTCAGGTGAGGATGAGAGCGTCCTCTGCTGGATCAAAACTGTAAAATACAGAGTTTTGGATGAACAGTGACCGCCCTGACTGTTGCTCGTACAGGAGCCAGCTCAGCATTCAGGGAGGGTAAAGTCCGGCTTTCAGCGGTCCGTATGTTCTTGAATCATCAGATATTAGAGCAGAAATAGATCCAGACTCATTTTAGACCTGAGACCACCACCCTTGTCTCAGGGTCTGCGGTCTGTGTACGGCAGCAGTGAGGGTTCAAAGCTGTAACGACATCTTTTCATTTAGACGATAACAGCGAGACGATTGATCCAAACTGAGCTGTAAACAAGAAACACTGAAATAACAGGGACAGGGCGCAACCACCTGCCTGAACCGAACCCCCACCCAACAACCACACACACACACACACACACACACACACACACACACACACACACACACACACACACACACACACACACACACACTTGGCAGCGCTCCTCCTCCTGGCTGACCTTGTGGTCTCATCTCTGAAATACACATCGCCCTCCCTACCCTCTGCAGCTACACACCCTG